GGGGTACGGGGCCGGAAGGGGCTGCCCTCCCCCCCCACCCGCTCCAGCGCCGAGTGCAGCTTCCGGATCTTGTGGGGCAGCCTCTGCGCAGAGAGAGGGTCACCGGCACCGGCACCCCGGCTCTCCCACCCCCAGAGACTCCCCAGTTCCCTCGGCACCTCCTGCTCTCCACCCACCCCATTGCACCTCTGTGGGGGTCTGTAACACCGCCTGCTTCAGGTGCTCGTGAGCAATAGGCTCGGAGCCCGTTGCCGCTCCGGTACGGGGGATTTTGGCCCCCAGCTGGGTCTAACCAGACCCAGGGGCTCATCCTGGCCCCCTGCCCGGTGGGAAACATGCTCCCTGCCCTTAGCAGCTCCCTTGCTCAGAGCTTAGGGGTGCAGGTGCCTGGACCCCAGCACCCAGGCCACCCTTGCTCCTTGCCCAAGCCAGGGGCCCCAGATCCATCACTGCAGACCTCGGAGGACCTCGCAGGGCTGGCAGCAGCCTAAAGGCGGTTACCTCCCAGGTCTTGGCCAGGCGGCTGACGGCCGTGTTGCTCACACCGAACATCACTGCAAAGAAGGAATTCAGGTTCTTCTGCTCCTTGAGGCTGCAGGCGAGGACAGAGTCAGGCGAGGAGGCCGTCACCAGCTCCGTCCCCACGGGACTGGGACGCAGGCGGCGAGGCACTCACTGTGCGGCCAGCTTGATGAACTTGCGGAGGAGCTGGGCTCGCCTGCCCACCTCGGGGCAGAGGCACAGCTCCGTGGCCACCCAGTACTGCAGCTCGTTGAAGCGCCGCATGACCCGTTCCAGGTTGGCCGTGGTCACGTCGTGAAACTTCTGCGGCCCGACGATGTAGTGGATCATTTCCACCTGCAAAGCCCAACGCGGCAGCTGAGGGGTGTCCCGAAAGCCACCCCAGAGCCATCTCCCGCCCTGGTCCGGGTGCTGGCCTTACCTGGTGGATGCTCTTGAAGAGGTTCCAGTCGTAGTCGGTGAGGTGGCTGGCCAGGTCCTTGGAGCTGATGAGGTCCAGGGTCTCTGAGGAGCCGATGTGGGG